TCCCCTCCTCGGGAGCGAACGTGGACGCGTTCGGGGCCGCGGTGGGAGCAGGGGCAGCCCTGGAGGTGGGGCTGCGACCTCTTCTTGGAGCGCCCGCTCGATGGAGCCTTGGAGCTGCCTCTTGTTCCTGCTGCTCCTCGAGGCAGTGTCTCCGGAGAGGCCTGGGGAGCGCGGCTAAGTCCCCTGCAGACACAGTTGGAAGGGCTGGCACGTGGCTGAAGTGCCATTTAGGGCGCCGTTGCCCTGGTTATTCCTCCCGGCCTCCCGTGACCGCTCTCGTGTCGCCCTCGCGCAGGTGCGAGATCTGCGGCTTCACGTGCCGGCAGAAGGCGTCCCTCAACTGGCACATGAAGAAGCACGACGCCGACTCCTTCTACCAGTTCTCCTGCAACATCTGCGGCAAGAAGTTCGAGAAGAAGGACAGCGTCGTGGCGCACAAGGCCAAGAGCCACCCCGAGGTGCTCATCGCCGAAGCGCTGGCTGCCAACGCGGGCGCCCTCATCACCAGCACCGACATCCTGGGCGCCAATCCCGAGGCCATCGCGCCGCCCACCGACAGCCAGGGCCTCCCGCTGCTTCCCGACCCGCTGGGAAGCCTTCGTGGCCAGCGGCAGCAGCGCCGGCGCCGAGGGGCTCGTGGTCAACACGGAGATCCTGGGCGCCACCACCGAGGTGCTCATCGAGGATTCGGACTCCGCCGGGCCCTAGCGGGCGGGCAGCCCCCGGTGCTGGGACAGGTCGGACTCTGTATTTAAAAAGAGGAGAGAGAGAGAGAGAGTAAAGAAAAACACAAAAAAAAAACACAGAAGGAGAAACTTGCTGAAAGAGAGAAAAGTTAAAACTTTGAAATACTAGTAAATAACAGAAGGGTCGGCCCGCTCCAGCGCGGATCACAGCGCAGCCTCTGCCTCCCAACCACTTCTCCCTCCTGCCGCCCGCTCCGCGCCCCGGCGCAGGAAGGGGCTGGCGGAGCCGGAGCGAGCGGGATCGGGCGCCGGATCCCTCCGGAGCACCGCGGCCCCCGGCTCTGCGCCCCGCGGCCTCCTCCTCGGGCCTCCCCTTCACGGTCCCCACTTGTTCTATGCACCGCGGCGCCCCGCTCCCCGCTCTCCCCGCGCGCCGGGGCTGCGCGGCCGCCTTGGCACTTTAGGCCACCCTCAACCCGTGCCGGTCCGGGCAGGGCGAGCGGCGACGAGATGGCCCCTCTCCGGAGCTCCCGGGAACGCCCTGAGATCGGTGGAGAGGCCTGGGGGCGCCGGCGGGCGAGGAGGAGCAGCCCGGCTCCACGACAGTGATTTGCACTTTGAACGCGTTTCGTTTTTTGTGTTGTGGTAACGAGATTCCTTATTTATTGATGAAAGGGTCGGTATTTTTTAGTTACGTTTTTGGGGAAGAGGGAGGGGAAAAAAAAAAAAAGGAGAAAAAGGGGGTTTGGGCTGTTTCCCAGCCGGCTCCTTGGCACTAGGGAGTCGTAGGGAGCAAGTAGTGCCGCTGCCACTGGTGTCGGGACTTTGGGTCTTTTTGCCCAGTTCTGGGAAGCTTCTCGCAGAGACCTGGTGGCCTTGGATTCTTAGCGCTTTTTGGAAGGGGTGAAAAATAACCCGGGTGGGTTTTTTGGTTGGTTTGTTTTCTTTTGTTCGCTTGTTTTGATTTTTGGTGGGGTCGGCGCGGCTGGAGGGCTCCGCCCGCCGCGAGCGGCCGGCGCTGCGGGCTCCATCCGCGTACCGGGGCTTGGGAGAAGGGCAGGAAAACGGGAGATTTAAGTGAAAACTTTTTTTTTTTTTTTAAATGGAAAAAAAACCTGCCTCTAGGCCCCCGCGCTATCCCTCGGAGCCGACCATGGCTCAAACCAGGCGGCTTCTGTGGGGTCGTCGTTATTTCCCCAACTTGTTGCCCCTTCGCTGTCCCCAGAACCTGTGTCGCAGCGGCGCGGGGCGCTCGGCCGGGCCCACAACACTAACACGAGCCCCTCGGGCTCCTACTGTCCCCAGGGTGGCAGCTCCAGCCGCGGCGGGGCCCCCTCCCGGCGCTCCCCGCACCCCC